TAATTACGCGGTCGCGTGGGACGCCCTGTCCGAGCGTTTCGACGATAAACGTTTGCTAGCTTCCGCTCACCTAGACAAACTATTTGCTTTTAAACCAATCGCTCATGAATCACTACCAGCTTTAGTTGAGTTCGTTAATACATTTAAGGAAAATGTATCAATAATTAAATCGCTCGGTGTCAATGACCTTTCAAGTTTTTTACTATTTCATATGGGATCTCGCGTTCTCGACTCGACGACTTTACAACTMTTCGAATCTAGTACATCGCCGTCAACTATTCCGAACTTCGACGAATTATTAAATTTTGTGCAACGTCGATGTAAGATTTTGGAAAATCTTACSAAATCTAATAAAGTCGGTCGCAATGATAAATCCTCGGATAAATCGTTCGACAAACCGGATATTCGCGGTAAATAYACCAAATCGACCAAATCAGTGTTCGCCGCTACTACGTCTACGTCGATTAAATCTAAATCTCGACATTGTTTATGTTGTGATAAGCCTGATCACAAAATATATCATTGTCCGAAGCTCGCCGGCATGACTGTCGATAAACGTCGAGAAACTGTATTAGCGCGTAAATTATGTTTCGCGTGTATGAGTCCGAGTCATATGGTCAATACGTGTCCGTCAACGAAAGGTTGTTTTTCGTGCCACAGTAAACGTCATCACTCCTTGCTACATCGTGAACAAGGTCGTACGTCAACTGCAGATACTGGGACTCCGAATATTAACCCGACACCTCAACCAACCACGTCGAATGGCGGTCCTAGTTCGTTTGTCGGTACCGCCTGCACCAATTCTACCGTCGTATTAGGTACAGCGATTGTGCATATCAAAGACGCTTGGGAACGAGTACATTGCGTACGGGTATTGCTCGATAGTGGTTCGCAGATTTCGGCCGTGACTAGTGAATGTGCAGCGCGGCTTGGACTTTTGAAACGTCGTTACAAGTCCGACATCGTCGGTTTCGCACAAAGTCCTGTGTCTCACGTGCAAGGGGTAACCAGCTGTCAATTTTCGTCGCATTTCAAATCAGATTATTTATTCCCGTCGGTCGAATTAGTTATTCTAAAACAAATTACCGCAGCCATGCCGTCCACACGGTTGCCGATAGCTGTGCGTCAGCAATACCAACACCTCCGTTTCGCGGACGAAACTTTCGACATTCCGTCGCGCATCGACGCTCTATTCGGCGCAGATATACTACCTAGTCTTATTCGCCCACACGCGGGCTTGGARCATCATCCGGGTTTACCATCGGCCCTCGACACTCAGCTCGGCTGGATAATTTTTGGTTCAGTTTCTACT